TTAAACCGACCCGTCTACGTGGGGATGAGTATTCTCGACCTGTCCAAACACCTGATGTACGACTTTTACTACAACGAGCTCAAGAAGCAATACGGTGATCGATGTGAGTTGCTGTACACGGACACAGATTCCTTGTTGCTAGATATACGTACTGAGGACGTGTACGATGACATGAAAAAACACCTCGATTTATATGACACCAGTGACTACCCCAAGGATCATACCATACACAGCACGGTAAATAAAAAAGTCCTCGGTAAGATGAAAGACGAATGCGCTGGCACACCCATCGACGAATACGTTGGCTTGAGGCCTAAGATGTACTCTGTCTTGAAAGCTGATAATAGTGAGATCCGGAAGGCTAAGGGTGTTAAGAAGTACGTTGTTAAACAACACATCAAACACACCAGATTCAAGGAAGCCCTGTTCAAAACCCGTACCTTTAGACATAAAATGAACACACTTAGAAGTGATGGGCATAAGATATACGGACTTACTATAAATAAGACGTCTCTGTCGCCTATGGATACCAAACGTTGGATAGCTATTGATGGGATAAACACGTACGCGTATGGACATGAGAAAATTGAACCAAGAACATAGATATAAATAAATGGTGACATGTCACGGAACCAGAAAAAATTTGAGGCTATTTACTATAGTCCGTGGGTATTGGAAAGGAGCTAGCGCTGTAAATAAGCTAGCTAAAATAACTTTCAGTATCCCGGAGGAGGTCAAAACATGGCTTGAAAAACAAGCACTTTGGCAGATATATTTACCACCACCACGCTATGTGTGCCTAGAAGGAAGTTTGGTATTAATATACCTAATAGCGTTCACCAAAGCAGACCTGCTGTTCCTACCTCACGACAGGGTGAGGCGTAAAACCTACAAGTATGCCCTGACTATCGTGGATGTAGCCAGCCCGGTATAAGGAAGCTGAACCATTGACCACGAAAGATTCTGCCCAGGTAGCCAGAGGATTGAGCATATACAAAGCGCATGATCCGTTGACATGGCCAACAGAGCTCCAAGTTGACCCCGGACGTGAGTTTATGGGTACCGTGTCACAACTGCTAGCTAAACCGCGATACAAAGGTCCAGCGTGAATGCGGCTGGAGCCCATCGCCAGTCAAGCCATAGTTGAGAGATTCAATAGGACTTTGGCTGAGCGTTTATTCGGTATCAGTATGCGAGAGAAATGACCAACCGAGGAAAAGCGATCGACTGAATGGGTTGAGCGGCTCCCTAAGGTGGTGTCTGCCATAAACCATGAAATCCTGCGACTCACTGGTAAGAGAAGCGGCAGAGCGCTATCAAATTAAAATCAATAATATCAGAGTCGACGCTCCATTGCGTGGGAAGGAGAAACAGATACCAGACAGGGTCCTAGTGAGGTATCTATACCAACCTGGGGAACACGAGGGTGGTAGTCGTAAGCGATCCACCGATCCGATATGGTCGATCAAAACTTACAACATAGATAAAGTTGACATCAAAGCAGACGAGCCTAACTTGTACTACTTGAGGGATGGGCCAGGGAGGGGGTTTGTGAGAGAAGAATTGTTGATCGTACCGTATGACACAGTGTTACCTCCCGTCGACACGACATAGAGGATATTTGATCAAATAAACATTTTCATAGCTTGATCCAACTAAAGCATTATTTAGGAAATAAGGCTTTCTGTACAGGTAATGACAGTAAAAATAAGGTATCCGACTAAAGCTTTATCTATGTAAGAAAGCTTTAGCTACCTTGATCCAGGACTGTCATCCTGTCTACTACTACATGGACTGTCTATTAAATGTCTGTTATACTTACAGGCGTTTAGGTCGCTAGATCCGAGCCTGAGGCGGCAGTGAATGATTTGACAAAAACAAGAGCCATAATTAAGGTCAATATAAATCTTGTTTTCGGTTTTTGTAATTAGGTTTTTAAATTCTGTGAGACTACATGACTCTTTTGAATTTGGCAGGGCATTCCATAAATTCATTGTGTCAGGTAAAAAGGATTTGGCATAAGAGGCAGTTCGACTGTAAATTCCTTGTATTTCAGAGTTTCAGAGTGTATTTCTTAAGCTGTAGCTTGTAGTTTCTGAGACGGAGTAAATCTGAGTATGTAAATTAATTTCTCTTTCAAATGATCACGAAGTTACCTACACAGAGTCTTTAATTTTTAAAGACATTTACCTGAGTATGTTAATCAATTTATCTTATAAAGTTTCATTAAGTTACCCCCACAAGATTCAGTTACATAACAAATCAGTAATTAGCTAGAGTGAATCCATTCTATCAGACAGGGGAGTATGGCATGTTTTCTTTGTTAATTACCTACTCCACTGTCTCATAACTGGGAGTCTCACAATTGGGAGTTCTCACAAATGGGAGTAGACTGTCACATTAGGTGTTTGTTTTAATAGTATTCTTAAGATACTAGTATACAATATCAAGGATAATTGTACTTCTGTAACCTATTATTCCAAACCACTTGACCAGAAAAATTATGATGTTCAAAGTTGGGATTTTTATTTATTTAAATATGGAGGTATTTTTACCTCATTCAGTGTGACAGTGTAAATCTGAGCACAATTGCCTGTTCCACTTCTTTCGCCCTGTTGTCAGTGACATAAAATTTAATATAAGTATATAATTTACATTTAGCTGCCATCTCCCTGTGAGCAGGTATAGATAAATCCCTAAATATATTTTTATACACTTGGATCCAGTCTCAGGGGTACTTTTACCAAAATGAGTACACATATTTTTCAAATAATCCTGCTCAAAAGATGGTTTTAGGAAACTTACGTTTTGTAACTGTTCGCATGATGACCCCAGCATATAACAAGTCTCACAAAACCACAACAGAGATATACATGTCCAATAAACAATAAACAAGAGGTAGGCCTCCTAATGCCATTATACTTTCCAGAACAGTCCCTGTATTGGTCTGTCTCACTGCAGTGTATGAAATAAGGCCTGTCCGAACGCCCGAGGACAGGCTAGATTTCTGATGGATGGTCTAAATGTACAGATGGTCTGGTAAACAGTTTAGAGGTTCCATATATCTGAGTAAATTCACCATGTCTGGTCTGGTTAAATCCTATTTGAAGTTACCAGCCCTGATGTCTGGCTGGGTTTTTGGCTTATTTCATACACTACTCACAGTCGCTTAACTACATTATTTTCCCTACAGCCTAGCCCTCCCTGCAATGTTAAAGCCCTAAATGAAGCAAGTCTACATTTCCCCAGGTTCAGAATTTTCCATCTCACAGGTGCTCCTTTTCAGTTTAAACGGGTTTATTTGTTACTATAATTATATACATTCATAGACTAAGCATTAGTCTATCCTTGTACATGTGATGCCTGTATTTGATCAGTAAATACTGCCTGTAACTGTGAAGTAATGCTGGTTTACATGTTCAAAAGGACACTCTAGGTAATGACATACAGCCTTGTTTGACTATTGTGTGTTCTTTGATTCTACATGAGTACTTGTATGCAAGAAACTCATAACTAACTGAGTTATGGAGATTTTTTTGTGCACACTTTACACAAATATGGATCTCATTTGTGGCTTAGATGTGGCTATTTATACATGTTAATTAGATGGAGTTGTCAAGATGTTACAAATTTGTTTTAGGTATTTTTACTTAACATGCTTAATACGTGTCTACATGATTCTTTAAGAAATGTCCCTTCAAAATCAGCTTAAATGTTGTTGTTTTTTTCAGTTTCAAGTTTCAAAAACATAAAATAATTTTCTCAGAAGACAATGTTCTACCTTATTCTACTGCAAATGTTTGTCAACTGTAAACATTTGAAATTGCGGTTATAAATATCTGAATTCAAGTTATCATAATCATGACAGTGTGTGGGGTTTGTCCAGGTTGTCTTGTATTTCACTTATAGGTGAATGAATAAAATTACAAAGGATTTTATAACAATGAGTTATAATATTATTAAATTGGAATAACTTTGAATTAAAGAAGAAGGGGACTTTTGAAAATTGGGCAAATAATATTTCAATTTTACTAATTATTTGCCACAGGTACCTGGATTATTAGGTAGCCATGGATCAACAATCTGCATGGGTAATGTTACCTGAGGGTGTCAGGGTGTTATACCCTTATTCCCTAGGCAATCTGTCTAGCCACTCTGGTTCAGGGGATTATGTAGCTAAGATGGATAGTCAAAGATAAGTCCGGTATGGTGTTCAAGTCCTGTTTATTTTAGCATGAATTCTTTCACAAAGGTCCTCAGATATTTCCTAGCTTTCCTGGTTTACATGCAACACAGATTCACAAATCTCCTGGAAGAACTTGTTGGTTTCTTGTACAACTCCTAAAGTTACAATTTCCTCTGAGCCATTCTCTTAATATACAGACAGAACCTCTCAAGTCAACAGTGGGGCCCAAAGTCACCTTGGTTCCCCCCGGAAAGTGGGAAAACTCTTCTTTGACAATTTTAGGCTCCTCCCCCCGAAATAATGTCCTACCTCATACAAAAATGACTCATATCCAATCTTGATAATTAGTTACTTTCATTAGTCCCTTTCGGAGACTTTTTTTGGTACCATCAATTTCTTCCAGTGATAAAATGACTTTGCTAGTTATCCTTAAGCCATCCATCACCCAAACGTTGACATATCTAACTAATATCTAATAGACTGGTAGGCGCCAGAAGATACTTAATCAAATCATTTCAGTTCCTATGCATGCCCCTTTATTGACAAACTGACCAAACTAACCATCTGTATCCCAAATGTCCATCCACCCAATTGTAGGAACACCAGTTTGAACGTTTCACCCTCATTTATGTCAGTTCAGAGAAATTGTTATTCCCCAAGAAAAGTGAATCAATAAGAGTTCAGTTAGCTTGGTCAATGCACTTTCCCAGTACATTCACCCTTCTTAACTTGACTTCAAATTTTCCTTAAATATTTATAAAATGTATATAATGTTTTCAACTCTAAATATCCTGGTTATACAAAGAATACTTACAGCTAGTGGGAGCAGATGAGGTAGACGGGCCAGATCCACCTTCTGTGATGTCACATGGTGTTGCCAATGTCCGCAATGTGGCAGCACAGGAATCAAGAACCTTCTTTGCACAATCCATTGTGTCACCCGAGGTTGCCTTTTTCTGCACTGTGACATCACTTGGATCATCGGCCTTCCGTTTTCGATCCATCTTGTTTCAGTTTTCAAGTCAATAAAAGGTTGACCCTAAAACAAAACACAACAGATGTAGTTTTCTTTTACAATGCATGTAAGATTAAATATGTAATAAATACTGACTGCTCAAATTGTAATTTTTAATATTTGGTAAATATATTTATTCACTGATTGAAACTAGTTTCACTAATTAAAGTACTTGGAAGTTAGTTAGTAGCTGAAGGTAAGTAACACTTTGAAAATGACATTAACCTTCATTTCATAGTCAACAACACTCCTCAATAATCATTTCAAAAACAAAACAATTTATTTTTATTTCAACCACTGACCTTGACAAACATTGGCTTATAACGAGTCAAGACTTTTCTTGAGCAAACTTGTTAAAGATGATATCTTGTTAAATGATATCTTGAGGCAAAGGGGGTACTGTCTTCCAAGGATCTGCAATTTGCTTTGCAGAGTTACATCCCTTTGGCACACCAGAAACCTATGACAGTTTTGTGGGTTGAAATCCTGGTTCACACAGAACATTGTCAGCGCCACATTTGTGATCGTATGGTTTCACCAAAGTGGTAGATGTAGGAATCACTTCATACTTTCTTCCTACATTTAGCAACCACATCCTCGTATAACTGGAACACTGTTCAAAGAGGACTTAAACCCAACTCCCTCACTCACTCATATATCACAGTAATGGCTACCTGTGACCTGTTCAAGTGTCCTAAAAATATCAAACCAAATTCAAATTATATGTGAAGGTTATCATCAAGGCAATTAACTACAGGATAACATGAACATCAGTGTCACATTTCCATTGATCTTCACCTCAAACTTCAGGAAATAGTGAATTCATACATTTTAGTACAAGGGGTATGAGGATCTTGTTATATTTTGGCGCTTGATATAAACAGTGTAAAACTCCAGCTTTTCACATCCCTACCAATAATACACCCATGAAGGTATGGGTTGGAATTGATCTTCAGTAACCCATGCTTCTCGTAAAAGGCAAGTAACGGGATCGGATGGTCAGGCTTGCTGGCTTGGTTGACACATGTCATCGATTCCCAATTGCGCACATTGATTCTCATGCTGTTGATCACTGGATTGTCTGGTCCAGACTCCATTATTTACAGACCGCTGCCATATAGCAATATTGCTGAGTGTGGTGTAAAATAAACTGACTCACATCCCTACCTATAGATGTGCCTAATGCATTATTAATTATTGCTATATGAATGCCTTATGGCCTCCCAAATTCTCTCTCACTTATGCATATATCCACAGTAATGGCTACCAGGAATCACGACATGGCTCAAGTGTCCTAAAAAATCATCAAAACAAGTTCAAATTAAAAATATGTGAAGGTTGTTATTAAGGCAATAATCTACAGGATAACATGAACATCAGTGATCTTTATCTCTAACTTCAGAAAATACTGAATTCAGGTGAGTAAGAGGATCTCATTATATTTTGCACATAAGTGTGAAACTTCACATTCCTATCAATAATACAATTACTTGAGTTCACTTGAGAGCACAAATGTAAGACAAAGCTTTCTGGACCTGCTTTACCTGAACTGTTTTGAATAAGTGAGTTTTGTTTATTCCACTTTTAGCAATATTTCAGCAATATGACAGCAAAGGACACACCTGATTTGGGGCTTCACACACACTGTACCCATATCGACAATCAAACCGAATTATTCTGCGCACGGCGAATAACACATTAACCACTAGGCTATCCCTCTACCCTTGAACTGTTTCAAACAATTTATAAACATTTCATTTCAGCACATTTGGAAGAAATGAATTTCTAGGATATTCTATAAGTCTGAATTTGATCAACCAGTTCTTTTACCTTTGAATGTTACATTTGATTCAAATTTTGTGACTTTCAACATCACTTTTGATGTATTTGTTAAAATGAGACATTTCTCATATGATTACCGAATGTAACCTGTTCTCATTAGCAATGATTAGTCTGTATTCTTTCCAGATCTTTACTGACAGAATCTGGCCATGGCATTTACATGTACCTCCTCTTGCTTAGTCTAACAATAACACAGATATGTATATATATGCCGTTGTGAGCCTATGACACACACTTGGGGCAGCACATGGTCAGATGCAAGTTTGAAGTAAGTCAAGAGCTGTGATGGGGTTTAACATTGTTGTATCTTGATTACTGGACCCTTTCACTGCACTTAGCAAAGTAACATGTGTTATATTTGGAATTACGCTTTCTTAGAAAGTACAAATTCTACTACTTTTCAGTTTCAGTCCCATTCGGGATTTGAATCCACAAGCTCAGAATAAGGCACCAAATCACTAGTGTGAGTCAGTGCGTGAGTGACTTTAGTATTGTGACACTTTTAGCAATATTTCAGCAGTATCACTGCAGGGGACACGAAAAATGGGCTTCACACACTGTACCCATGTGGGAATCAAACCCAGGCCTTCGACATGATGAGCGAACACTTTAACCTCTAGGCTACCCCACTGCCACCCAAATCACTAGTACATAAAATGCTAGTACATGTAATTTGGTGCCTAATGTGGGGGGAGAATTCCAATCCTCAGTGAAATTTAACCCCAAAAGTACTAGAAATTATGTATTTATAGTTTACAAAGAAAGTGCAGACACAAATACAACACTTTACATTTGACAGCTTTCTAAAACCCATTGTGTATTCATGGTACTTGGCCACAGGCGATCGATGCATGGGATACGCCCCTTATACTACTATAGTTCCTATAGTAGTATAAGGGGCGTATCCCATTGATCGATCGCCTGTGCACTTGGCTACAGTTAGAAATCACCTGGACAAGTTTACGCAGATGTATTTCGGGAAAAAAGTCAACTCATTAATTAAGTAATATGCCAAATTCCTACAAATATAATATCCTATAGTTATACATTACCCAAATGGGAGATCTCAATTCACCGCCATTAAAGGTCACATGCAACGTAAAACACAACTTTGCAGATTCTGATACCTTTCGGTATGGACTTACCGAAACAAAGCGTCAAAAATGCAAATTCAAGTTATAAAGTTGAAAAATAACGCGATGAAAAAAAAGGGCGAAATCGGAGTTCAAACGTTTCACTAATTTTCCCCAGACTTTTCTGGGAATACGGAGTTTCAACAGCTGGCTGTGCTCATAGCACGTCTTGCGAAAGTGAAATAGGTTACAGTAACTTGGAGGCGGGCTGTCTGGTGAATACTCTGTGAAGGCTTTGCGTGAGCTGGTTTCCTAATGTTTGTTGATATCTCACGAAGCGGCGTTTTGTATGTTATGACAGTAAATAAACTGTTTATATCATTTCATTTGTCTATTTCACCACCACACGTTCTTCTTACAGAGTCACTTTTTCAGTTCGATACTTAAAAGCATTATTTAGAGTTGACACAATTTCTAACTGTGATATAGATATGTCGTTGTCACAGACAAAACTCAATGTCTTGTTTTATTGACACCAGTGTGTCTCTGCCTGCCTGTCTGCTAATGACAATATTCAATACACAACTCGCGATCACTGACCACATGCAATTTGAACTTAACACCAATCAGGCTATACACCATAAACAAAGCGCGATTGATTTATGGCCCGAGTTAGGTCTCTGTCACATTATGTAATTACACAGACAGGCAGGTGTGATACTTGAACACATGACATGTTATGATGTCTGTTGATTGCAAAATGTTATACACAAAAATGAGCATGTATTTACAAAACCCAACTTTCTATATATACACACACAATGACCGTGAAGGCGGCATCTGCTAATGAACCAGCCGTTACACTTGAGTGCACACCCACCCGCTCTGACTGGGTTCGGTATCCCGGCTGCTTCGTTTCCAGGGAGGTAAACCCAAGTACAAAATATTGCACTTTTGATTTGCGATTATACGCTTATAAATTTGTTTATTTGTTTTTTTCATAATCAGCAATGCATATTATATGTCATGAAGAAGTGATAATTGTGTTTTAATTATGTTTGATTTTTTGGTTGCATGTGACCTTTAAACTTCCGTGTTTAGAACTTTCTGGGGTGGGGTTTCTATATTTCTATCATATTGCTAACTCACACCAAGTTGTTTGATATATCTAAAATCTTAGCCTTCTCTTGATTTGTATCGAAAATGTATCCATGGAAATTTTTTATTAGCTAAAACCATCAGAGTTCAACGTATATATACGTATGCTTAGCATATGAAAGCGAAACCACAATCAACTTTTCATTTTAAAATGGAATGATTTGAGCAAACAATAAATAAACATGTTTCTACGACAATATACCTGAGAACCGAGTTTGTCACTTTCAATATGAGGCCACAGTATTTGTCCAAGGAGTCTATATAAGACATTTATACAGATTCCCTGATTCAGCCAAATCTGTCTGTGGTCCGCCTGTCAAAGGGAAATCCCCTTTTCTCCGTCAATACTCGCACTGTTACGTGAAGGGGCGAAGTTCGCCGAGGGCCGCACTGAAAACGCATTCGTAACTACTCGCCTATTTCCGTGACCTTACAAGCCCATTCGTAACTACTCGCCTCTTTCGAGTCATTCCGGCAAGCCGGATGGCGTCTCGTACCCCTCTCGTGGCCATGTTTTCGACTGGGCCCTATCCTGGGCTATCTAAGCGCAAACGGGCATGTAGATGAAAATAGTCTATAGTACTGTACTACTGTCGGTAATAGAAAAAAACTGTTTTTCGGCTCTTACTCTATATCCCCTAAAATTTACACAACTGCAAATATCATATGTCGAAATAACCCACTTCGGCCTAACTTGGCATTCACTGATTCAGTGGGATGCGTAATAGCAGGGATACTCTACAACATAATAGAATCTCCCTGGTAATAGGATATCCAGAAAAGCATTTTTACTCGTAAAATCGGACAAAACTTTGAAAAAACACGAAAAGCTGCTGATAACAATAGATCAGACTATAGATCGCAATTAGGTCGCTCAGCCAGGTGTGACGACGGACCGTCGACTCACCTGGCATGAAATGCATGTGCTGCCTACAGGCGCCCAAGGGGTCATCTCAAAGATATTTGGTGCTTTTTCATGTGTGTTGACTATGCCTCTTCTATTGATTAACAGCTTAAGTGTCTTTCTTTCATAAAGTTTATGTTGAGATATGTAAAAGAGTATGATACCTGATAACCATAGAAACGCATCGTATTAAATGTCTCAAAATACATACGTGGCATGACCACCCGATCGCGAAGATCGACAGGGCTGGATATTATTTGTAAATTGTTATGACATGCCGTGAACTTCCCAAGTATAACTGCCCTATCGTATCTTAGATGATATCTCTATCCCCAAGCCCGACCCCAACCATCGTATGCGACACCCGACCAGGTTTTGCTTTTGAGATGAACCCACCTATCTGTTTCTTTTTTTAGTGACATTGAGACTCCATGGTAGCTACATCCTTAATAGTTTCAGCATGAAAGTTATTATTTTTTTACGCCAGCTATCGCGTCTATAATGAAGCTACGTCTAATTTCAAATTCGTCACTTAAAAAGTGTCCTTTATAATACAATATCGTCGCACACTAATTTGCATACAGCCATGGTCTGTTCCAAATAATTCGTTTTGGACTTAGAAAAAAATCGCATTGCTCATTTCTGCAGTAATCTCTCCCCAGTTAAGTCCTTTTCTACGTTTCTTGTGTCCCTATCATTAAGACTGTAGTTAGGCTGAACTTAGTTTAAGAGATATTTCACACTTGCACATATCAACTCCATAAATTGTAGAGATAAATGAGAAAATATACAGTTTTTTTCTATTTCCGACAGTACTATAGTACTATTACAAAGGAAAGATAACTCTGAATTTCCAAACATGGCTCACAGAATATCCCACATTCCGTGGGCAAAACAGCAGGAGTCATTCGGACTCATTCCCTTTGTAAATATGTTTCACTAAAATTCAGTGTTTAAAGTTTCTGATCCTTTAGCTCAAAGTTTAAGTTTAAATTATGCTTTGCATAGTTTAGCGAAGTTTCAAAGTTCAACGGTGCCGCCATTTGCATGCTTCAAATGTGTTTTACTACGCGTGATTTGATTGGTTTGCCACGATTCTTGGCAATTATGGCGTACGATAGGGGTACGAGTCTTCTTGTAGGTCACGGAAAGAGGCGAGTAGTTACGAATGCTTACAAGCCATACGGCTTGCCGAAATGACACAAGTTATGATAACAATAATAATTCATTTATATAGCGCCTAGTATCCATCTGACTACTTACTCCCTGGAAGCTGTAATCAGAATCTGATTATTATTATCCCGGATAACCAAAGCTGCCTGTGAGGCGCTATAAGGTTAATAGTCACATGACTTATCTTACCGGGTACCCATTTTGTGCTGGGTGAACAGAGGCAGTCTTGAACCAACTCATTTGCCTGAGGTGAGACCACGTGTATCACGTGTGCTTTGCTGTGGGGCCGGACTGAAGTCCTAGAAACTCTCAGAAGCTGCTAAACATCCAATAGTTACGAATGACTGAAACGATCGCCCAGTTCCGCTGAAAGATGTTTCGCAAGTTGGTGTTGCCTTCCATGTGGCCCGTATAGCAAGCCGTTTTCACATTTATTAAGAAAATACTGACATCTTGAAATATTGTCAAGATATCTTGAATGAAAACAGATACATCTTGAATTGAATTGAGAACATTTTGAAGTGAATTAAAGATATCTTGAATGAATTGGCTCATATATAGAATAGATAGTTGAGTTGAGTTGGGCTTTACGTCACATCGGCATTATTCCAGCCATATAGTGACGAGAACAAGTCTGCATTAATATACATTGTAAGTAGGGGTGTCGCGATACGCGAATGTATCGATGCATCGATACATTTTTACTGACGATACGATACGCGATACATGCTTACGTGTATCGATTCCTATTTTAAAACTTTATCGATTTAAATTTTAATGCTATATCCATCTCCTTCAAAGTCTTGGTAGTAAATTTATACGAGACGGCTCCGATAAATAGATGTAGCTAGCTTTTTACTTAAAAAAATAGGTTGGAAACTAACAGCTTTTGTGATTGGCTAAACTATTTTGATGGACCAATCAGCGAGCGCCTACGTTGCCGGTAAGGTAATGCTATGAAAATGCGCGAAAATTATGTATCGCGATACGTATCGTATCGTGACCTTAAAATCGTGATACGTATCGTATCGTGAGATTGGTGTATCGTGACACCCCTAATTGTAAGTACAAAGTGGTTTCGTTTCAAAGACACACATTCATTACATTGTCATTTTGGAAAAGCAGGTAAATTCGTTAGTGACATTACACAGTTACAATTTATGATATAGATCACCTTCCCTCAGGTAGTATCAGATGAGCGCTCACGCTGGAGAACAGATCTTTCAGATTGGTTGCGTGATAATGCGAGTCCCTTGCAGATGTAAACTCCACACAGTCAAGCAGAATATGCTTGACGGTGAAAGCCTCATCGCAGGAGAGACATATGGGGGGTCCACCCCCATCCGTTTTTAGCAGATAGTCATGTGTAAATCGACTGTGGCCAATACGAAATACGACATCGTCGTAAAATTACTTCATCACGTCTTGACTGGCAACCGATTGTTGGCTTCAATTCATGGAGTTTGTTTCTTCCTACTTGAGTGTCCCACCTTTTTTGCATCAGGTCCCAAGTATAGCTTCTGATAGTGGGTTTGAAATCACTGTACGGGATTAGCAGTGGAGATAGGGGCTTTTCAAGAGCTGCTTTTGCTGCAGCATCGGCCTTAGTGTTACCTGCTATGCCGACGTGACCCGGCAACCAGCAAAGGACGATGTCATATTGGCCAGTAGAAAGGTCGTTGTACAGTTCTAATATGTCCTGGATGATTGGGTGACTTGAAGTCACGTTTAGAAGTGCTTGAAGGCAGGATAATGAATCTGTAAAAACGATGAAGTTTTTGGAATGATTTTGCTGTTGAATGTAGGTCAAAGTTATAGATATCTGCGGTAAAATTAATTATATCCCGAAATGAATTAAGGATATGATGAAACATATCAATTATATCTTGAAAAGACTGACTGACTGACTGAGTTAGCAATTTAGCAATATTCCAGCAACATCACGGCGGGGAACACCAGAAATGGGCTTCACACATTGACCCATGTTGGGATTCGAACCAGGGTCTTCGGCGTGACGAGCCAACGCTTTAAGCACGAGGCTACCCCACCGCCCCATCTTGAAAAGAATTGCTGATAGCATAAACTGGATTAATGATATCAGAATAAAGATATACACAAATTCAAGTTTTTAATGATATCCGTAATTCAGTTCCCGATATCCTGCAATTAAATACAGATATTTTTAATTAATAACTGATAGCTTGAATTGTTGCTTTTATTAAAGAATTTTGATTAATAAAAAGATATCTTCCAATGCGTCCGTCTTTAAGTACTGTGGGTAATGTTTCTAATCAGAGCGGTATGCCAGACGGTGTGTGCGTGTGTCTCTCTTCTTTTAAGTTTTCTTTCAGTTAAACAAGAGGCACCTATTGATCATCACCCCGTGTAGATCCAATATGGCCGGAAGAGACAACCAACTTGAACTCCATTGGGTCAGACTCGCTCAGTTGTTAATCTACTACCGTCTTATAGCTGCGTTACTGTAGCATTATATAACAAAGACACGAGTGAGTACAGTTGGTATATAGTCCAGGGTAGAGGCCACCAAACCTTGATCATAATGACAAGCCATCACCATGCATTTGGTGTAGTCCAGCGTAGAGACCACTTAATGTTGATCACAGTTATAAGTCATCACCATGCATTTGGTCTAGTCCAGCGTAGAGACCACTTAATGTTGATCACAGTTATAAGTCATCACCATGCTTTTGATATAGTCCAGCGTAGAGGCCACTTAATGTTGATCACAGCTATAAGTCATCACCATGCTTTTGGTATAGTCCAGCGTAGAGGCCACTTAATGTTGATCACAGCTATAAATCATCACCATGCTTTTGGTATAGTCCAGCGTAGAGGCCACTTAATGTTGATCACAGCTATAAGTCATCACCATGCTTTTGATATAGTCCGGCGTAGAGGCCACTTAATGTTGATCACAGCTATAAGTCATCACCATGCTTTTGGTATAGTCCAGCGTAGAGACCACCACATGGCCTGTACCTGTTATGCTGGTAACACCACCTATATATATGTGTGTGTGAAAAGAAAACAATAAGCATAACAATATTCCAGCAATATCACGGCAGGGACACCAGAAATGGGCGATACACATTGTACCCATGTGGGTAGTCAAACCAGGGTCTTCGGTGTGACGAGCGAACGCATTAACCACTAGGCTACCCACAATCCCTTATCAATAAGGTATACACAAAGAAGCAAACATGACTATATCATACAAACAACCAGTTTACCCTTT